ACTGGTGGAGTCTTCATATAGTTTCTGTGTGATAGATATAAATTTTTTGGATATTCCATAGTGGCTCATTAACTTCCAGATAATATCTCTATTCACACTGTCAAACGCCTTTTCGAAGTCGACAAAAGTCATGTATAAGGGGGATCGCCACTCAAGGGACTGTTCAATAATGATGCGCAGCGTGGCAATGTGGAATAGGCCAAAATAAAAGGAAAAGATTTCTCGTGTGTCACATAACATTGTCGTCCAGTCAAAGTAGTCTCCCTAAAAGGTAGATTAATGCAAAGTTCGATTTACAACGATAATTTGTTTATTAATATCGAGTATTTTAAAAAATTGATCTTTCTGTTTGTCAATACAAGAAGGTTTAGAACCAGATACAGAAAAACAGGCTATGCGTTCAGCTATTCTTTAACCCAATTTGTGGGGTTTCAGTCAACTAAAATTACACTAAGATTAAATAATGAACAAGACAAAGGTCCGATAAATGCAAAACCCTTTTAAAAATAGCCAGGCTAGGGAAAAGATTGAAAATACAAAGATGATGACAAAAGGAAGATGGGTGAACGTTAGGTACAGAACATCAGCTTACGATCTAGTGTGAAGGTTGGGTACAGGTAGAGACATCAACTTACGATCTGTTTAAGCATTTTTCTGTTTACTCAATTTTCTGTGCGCGCAATATTCTGTTTGCACATTTTTCTGGTTGCCTATATTTCTGTTCTTGCATCTTTCCGTTGCGCATTTTTTCTTGCGCTTTTTCCGTTGCACATCTTTCTGGTCATCCTTAAGAAAAGACACTTGGTTTATTTTGCATACAAAAAGATTTTCTTGCTACTAAACTGCTCATGTTTAAAAATAAACCAGCCCAACAGGTAATTAAATGTCGGAAGCTATGTTTTCAAAATTAGGGCATTAAACTTGGTAAGTGAACGATAAAGTCAGCGAAAAGGCTCATATAAAGCATGTAAGGCAAGAGTTACTTTCATGCAAATATCCATGGGTAAAAAAAAAGAATTTTCATTGAAAATATTTTAAGTGCGCTTTTTTTTTAACATTTTAGATTTCTTTTTACCATTTCCATATAAAATACAAAAAAAAATGTTGAATACGTAGGCCCATATATTATGGAAGTATTTTTTTTTAATTCATAACATAACTATAAAGAAAAGCTTGGGTCGCTTCCTAGATTGTAGTAAAGGTATTCAATAGATAATATATTGACCCTAGCTTTTCTTTACGGTTATTTTAATAGCAGGGTTTTGTTATATATTTGAAGAACGTCATTTATTTTCTCCCTTTTATAGCAAATTAATATAAAACCTTGTTATTAAAACGTTTTTACAAGCTTTTATTTAACTTGCTTCCTCTATCTGTCGTCAGTCTGTCGTCCGTCTAGATTTTAGGCATACAATTAAGTCAAATTTGATGTCAGATTGCATTACCATCGGATCTTGTCCAATCTGTTAAGTTTTAAACGAATTGGTTTCGATCGATGACGGACGACATACAAAAGACAGAGGAAGCAAGTTAAATAAAAGCTTGTAATAATACTATTATATTTGTCCGAGGGGACAGGGGTTGTCTAAAGAAGAAACGTGGGGACAGAGGTAAAAATCTGCTCTTTTGTGAACGTGACAGCTGGATTACTCCTAGCTACTTCCATGCATATTTTACTTTAAAATTGTAATGTGAAAACCAGGATCCGTTGACGATTAGTACTAGGTCAGGGGTCGGCAACCTGCGGCTCGCGAGCCGCATGCGGCTCTTTTGATATCAAGATGCGGCTCTCCAGCTCCGTGCACAAATACTAAAAATCTTGATAAAAAAAATAAAGTATTTGAAATAAAAAAAATGTTAGTGGCTCTTTAAAACCAGGGAAATTTTGAAAATTGTAATTTTTGGCTCTTCCGCTTCAAAAGGTTGCCGACCCCCGTACTAGGTGAATCGATTACAAAAAATTTTAATATAACGCAGGCGTATAAATTAATGTTAAAAAGCTGTTACCTTGCACCTTAGCAAGTGTATGCTCCATATAAATTATTTCACCTTTTTATGCTAATCTCGTGTTAAAATTTATGGCGTGCATACTGTGGGTTAACCAAGCAATTAATGTTGATGTTAATAACTCGTGCGCAAGGCAGGCGTAGACATAACATGTGTTAAATATTTGGCAAAACTCGTAAGACTCTGGTAACATTTGTCACTATGTACGGAAGACACACGTAATACTTAAAGTAAGACTCGTTATACCTGACGTAGGACACACGTTATACTTGACGTAAGACGTAAGACACACGTTATACTTGACATAAGAGGCACGTTATACTTGACGTAGGACACACGTTATACTTGACGTAGGACACACGTTATACTTGACGTATGACACGTAAAACTTGATGCCATGCTTGTAAACGTTACGTTGCTTACATGTACTTAAAAATACAGTGCCATAATTACAGTGTACATAAGTACAGTTGACCATATACTCCATCACCACCTCTATCATCAGCTCCACCACCACCTCGACCACCATCCACTCCATCGCCACCTCCACCACCATCCACTCCATCACCACCTCTACCATTTGCTCCATCACCCCATCCAACCCTTTTCATCATCACCACTTTCACCATCATTTGCGCCATGTCTTTCACCACCAACAACAACACCAACACCTCTCTATCTACAAACAGCAACACCTCCACCACCATCTCCACTACCACCACCGCCACCATCTGGTATACCTCCACCACTACCATCACCACCCCCTTAATCTACTCGACCTCCACCATCGTCACCACCTCCACCATCTGCTCCACCACCACATCCATCATCTGCTCCAACACCACCTCCACCATCGTCACCACCTCCACCATTTGCTCCACCACCACCACCACCATCTGCCCCATCATCACCAACACCTTCACCATCTGCTCCACCTCCACCACCACCAATACCATCACCACCACCTCCACCAGCTACTCCACCACCACCTCCACCATTTGCTCCACCACCACCACCACCACCACCTCCACCTTCTGGTCACCACCACCACCGCACCCACCAATTCCACCATCTGCTCCACCACCACCTCCACTATCTGCTCCACCACCACCCCCACTATCTGCTCCACCACCACCTCCACCATCTGCTCCACTATCACCATCACCACCACCTCCACCATCTGCTCCACCACCTCCACCATCTGCTCCACCACCACCTCCACCATCTGCTCCACCACCACCTCCACCATCTGCTCCACCACCTCCACCTTCTGCTCCACCACCACCTCAACCATCTGCTCCACCACCACCTCCACCATCTGCTCCACCACCTCCACCATCTGCTCCACCACCACCTCCACCATCTGCTCCACCACCACCTCCACCATCTGCTCCACCACCTCCACCATCTGCTCCACCACCTCCACCATCTGCTCCACCACCACCTCAACCATCTGCTCCACCACCACCTCCACCATCTGCTCCACCACCTCCACCATCTGCTCCACCATCACCTCCACCATCTGCTCCAACCACCACCTCCACCATCTGCTCCACCACCACCTCCACCATCTGCTCCACCACCACCTCCACCATCTGCTCCGCCACCTCCACCATCTGCTCCACCACCTCCACCACCACCTCCACCACCACCTCCACCACCTCCACCACCACCTCCACCACCACCTCCACCACCACCTCCACCACCTCCACCACCACCTCCACCAGCTACTCCACCACCACCTCCACCATCTGCTCCACCACCTTCACCACCTCCACCACCACCACCACCATCATCTACTCCAACACCACCTCCACTATCTGCTCCACCACCACCACCACCACCATCATCTACTCCACCACCACATCCACCATCTGCTCCACCACCTCCACCACCACCACCACCACCACCACCACCATCACCATCATCATCTACTCCACCACCACCTCCACCACAACCACCACAACCACCACCACCACCATCTGCTCCACCACCACCTCCACCATCTGCTCCACCACCTCCACCATCTGCTCCACCACCTCCACCATCTGCTCCACCACCACCTCAACCATCTGCTCCACCATCACCTCCACCATCTGCTCCACCACCACATCCACCATCTGCTTCACCACCACCTCCACCATCTGCTCCACCACCTCCACCATCTGCTCCACCACCTCCACCATCTGCTCCACCACCACCTCCACCATCTGCTCCACCATCACCTCCACCATCTGCTCCACCACCACCTCCACCATCTGCTCCACCACATCCACCATCTGCTCCACCACCTCCACCATCTGCTCCACCACCACCTCCACCATCTGCTCCACCACCACCTCCACCATCTGCTCCACCATCACCTCCACCATCTGCTCCACCACCACCTCCACCATCTGCTCCACCTCCACCATCTGCTCCACCACCTCCACCATCTGCTCCACCACCTCCACCACCACCACCACCATCATCAGCTACTCCACCACCACCTCCACCATCTGTTCCACCACCTTCACCACCTCCACCACCACCACCACCATCATCTACTCCACCACCACCTCCTCCATCTGCTCCACCACCACCACCACCACCATCATCTACTCCACCACCACCTCCACCATCTGCTCCACCACCTCCACCACCTCCACCACCACCACCACCATCACCATCATCATCTACTCCACCACCACCTCCACCACCACCACCACCACCACCATCATCTACTCCACCACCACCTCCACCATCTGCTCCACCACCTCCACCACCTCCACCACCACCACCACCATCACCATCATCATCTACTCCACCACCACCTCCACCACCACCACCACCACCACCATCATCTACTCCACCACCACCTCCACCATCTACTCCACCACCACCTCCATCTGCTCCACCACCATCTCCACCATCTGCTCCACCACCTCCACCACATCCACCACCACCTCCACCACCTCCACCACCTCCACCAGCTCCACCATTTGCTCCACCAGGACACCAACCTGACCCTAAACGCCAGCTGGCCGAGGTTGAGCCAATGCTTCCAGTCGACGGTCCTGGTCTACGCCCCTGCCGGCCTGCTCTGGTTCAGCAGTTTGATTTACCTGCCCTACCTGTTGTGTCGCGAGACCCCGGTCTGTGGACCCAACACCTGGCTAGCCACCACTAAAACGGTACAGTAGATCTAGAAACTGTCGCCATGTGTGTGAACTACATGTCACGGAAGAAGAACATGAACTTTCTCCAGCTTTTTATCTCCCCCTCCCATCCTCCAACTTTATTATGATAAGAAAGTGATATATAACATCCGTTATAACGCTAGAGCAATGAGGTGGGGAATTTATTACAGCCCATATATTTTGTGACCACATTTTTTTCTCAAGCAACCAGTTGTTTTTGTTCAGTTTTTTTTTTAGCAGCAAATATTTAGTGACGTCAGATACATAAATGTGCTTTACAAAATTAATTGGTTTACATGCATGTTTCCAGTAACGCTTTTGGTATTACAGGAGGGGGGCATTGAATATGTTATTATAGGTGGGTCATTTTAAAAGTGCACGTTCATACATTTTTAATGCAATCTTCTTTATGCACATTTTGTGCAATCTGCATTATGAATATTTTTCTGAGTGCGAAATATTATGTGCAGAAACTTCAAGCGCTGTTTTCGTTGTGTATTTTAGTGCTTTAACCAAGTGCTGCGATAGCACATTTTTCTGATACCTTAACGCAACAACAGATATTCAAATTAATCTAACCCTGGGTTAGACTCCATTATATTGTTTACACCTTAAGTGGTACTTTACTAATAAAACAAAATGTAAAGTTACCGCTTTGAACCTGATTGTCCATGGGGTAGATGTAAAGTAGTCTGTGACATCGGCACATGAAGGGATAGTGTAGTCAGCACTATGTTCAGCTTCCTTTACTTTCCCTAGCGTGAGTCAGGTACCCATCAGAGCTGGGTGGACTCAGGGACGTCCTACAGTTTTGAGCGCTGGATCCAGGAAATGAGACATTTGAGTTAGCAGTTGTTCGCTCTACCATCCAACCACGAAGTCCTATTGCTATAATAATTAAGTCTACAACGTGTGCTATTTGGAACTTGACTACCTACATCTAAAAGTATAATTTTAACTTGCCCGCTTGAAAAGTCTGATAGAATCACAATGTATTTAGAACCAAAACAATTTAAGCAAGTTTCAAAAACTCTTATATGAAATCAACCTTTGCTTTAGCTGTAAATGTAGTTGCAGTTGTATCCTCCATACAACTTAAGACGTAATCTACTCGAGTTGTTTTCTCCTGGTTTCAGGTTCTCTCTGTCCTGCTCGCCTTGACTACCACAGCCGCCGTCGTCAAGGAAGTCTTGCATCCCTTCTCGTGGTCAGGCCAAGACGATGACTTTCAGGCAATTGATACTTCCAGCACTGTCTTCTCTGTTGCCAAGATTGTGGAAGGATTAAGTTTTGTAAGTAGCTGTCCATACAATTTCACTGTTTGAGGATTAAGTTTTGTAAGTGGTGGTTTATACAGTGCTACTGTTGGCACACATATAGTTTTTGTTGGGTGGTATGAAACGGTAATTTACTTTTCACTTATTATTGCTGTAGTTCTAGGAATTCTTAATTGCTGGTAATTTTAAATAATTAGAATTTTCTTTGGTGACTTGGCACATAGAGTTTCTTTCAGGCAGTGTTTCTTCGAGACTTTTTTCTCCACGGGGCACTTAAAATTTTCGGGGGAGGGGAGACTACAATTTCAAAAGGGGGGGGGGGGTGTCGGACACTTTAAAAGTATATATTTTCTATATAAATTCCATTTAGTTCAGAGGGGGTAGACTCTCTTCAGGGGGCGGAGCCCCCCACCCAAGAGATGTCTGGATGAAACACTGCTTTCAGGCATGTTTTCGGGAGTGGGGTCACCCTAGCCCTAACATCCAAGCACCTATACCCCCACCCCCATTTCTTTTTTTTTCCAATGAAATAAAATTTATATCCGCCCTGAGAAAAATGTCTGAAGGAAACATTGCTTTCACATGTGTTACTCTAAAGTACATTTGCAAGCGTAACCTCAATGGGTGGGTAGGTGGGGTGGGGGGGGGGGGACAAGAGAGGCTGTGGTGCCATGTTGGCCAATGAGAAGACTACATTTCTCACAACCGTATAGACCAGGGGTCTCCAAACTACGGCCCGCGGGCCAGATGCGGCCCGCGAGGTCCTCTCATCCGGCCCGCGGCGATCTTTTTGTCCACGGAATAAATGTTTGTTAGAGGTGGCTGCGAAACTATGCCCAGAAAATTCAAAACAATTTGAAAATGTAGCTTTGCGTGCAAATACTATTATCCGCCGTGTTGCAGACTTTGGTGAAAACATCGTGACTCTAATAGCGAAAAATGCAAGCAAGGTTCTCAATTTTTTAATTGTAATGGATCAGTTGCTGGACAGCTGTTCCACATCTCAACTGCTTATGTTCATTAGAGGTGTGGATGAAGACATAAACATAACACAAGAGCTGGCTTCCCTACATAGAATGTATGGCACTGTTACCGGAGAGAATATAGATAGTTCAGAGACTTGTTAAAAGATAGAAACACAGAATCGCAAAATTTATCATATTTCACAGCAGAAAATTTGCGAGAATTTTTTCTGAGCAGTGTATGCCCTATTTAAGTTAAAAAAGGAAATGTGACTTCCTTGAAAGTAAAGGCAAGCCACAAAGCTGATGTACTTACTGTCTGATGAAGAGTGGGTATAGAAATCGGCCTTTGCTGCAAACATTACTAGTCATTTAAATTTTCTGAACCTAAAACTACAAGAGTTGGAAATTTAGTTTTAATCTATACACCCACCTAAAGGCCTTCAGATCCAAAGTTGTCATGTTTTTGGAACAAGTACAAGCCAACAACTTGACGCACTCTCGGTAGTGCAAGGTCTTTACGGCTGAAGCAACCACTGAGTTCCCCACCTCATACGAGATCACCAAAGACTTCAAGCTGCAGTTTCAGTAGCGGTTTTTTGACTTGGATTCAAAGGCAGAAAAATGAAACTGTTTCAGAACCCATTTGAAGCAAATGTGGCCAATTGCAAAGATGAACTGCAGCTGGAGGTCATTAGAGACACGTTCAAAAGTTTTTGCAAAGGAAGATTTTCCTAATATTAAAACTTTTGTATCAAAGTACCTTTCAAATTTTGGAACAAGATACCTGTGTGAACAAATATTTTCAAGGTTGAAATACGTGAAGAATAATTTGAGAGAAAACTTGGACCTCGAGTGTGTTGTTGGCCACCCACAGTGTTTCTTTCACACTTTTTTTCTCCGGTGGGGGGGGGGGGACACTTGAAATTTATATATATTTCTATATAAATTATATTTTGTTAAGGGGGGGGGCGGTGCACGTTATTCGGGGGGGGGGGGGTACCACTCCGATGAGATGTCTTGAAGAAACTCTGGCCCCCCAACTGATATTTGATAGTTAATGCGGCCCTCGGGCTGAAAAGTTTGGAGACCCCTGGTATAGACGGACGTTATAAAAGGACTAGCCACCTCCCTACACACACACACACACTCTGCATTCACAAATCACACACCACAATATTATGATGTGAATATAGTCCCCTCCCCCATACACAAACTCGCCACAATTGGGTGAGGAGGGAGTTTGTATTCCAACCTTCAACCCCCCTAACATCCATCTCCCATAACAATTGGATGGGGCGACAGTTAGCGCAGAGCAATTGGCCTTTCCTGCAGATGTATTCGTTGAGCTTACACTTTGCGACCATTGGCTGAATTGAACGTGCAGGTGGTCACATGCTGTAAACATGCCGAGCGGTGTGTCTAGACACTGGTTTGTTGTGATGGCGGCAAGCGGTCCAATATGATCGTTTAAATCAGTATCGCCAACACGCAGACAGAATAAACCCCAGACTAAAACTGGCGATCCAACGGAGACCAAGAAAATTTGTGAAACTACTTTTCTATTTTGTGCAGGAATGGGAAAAACTTTTTTCAGATTTCACCGTAAAGTGGCAATCTCTTTTATTAGTAAAAATAAACCTCAGTGCTCTATATCATGTGGAAATACGATGTCAGTGCTCTATATAGTGTGAAAGTTTCGAGTGGGTTCAAAAAAGGATGTTATGATGGAGGTGAAAACCTCATACAAACTGTGGTACGATATTTAAATTCCATATATTGCTGTGTTCGAAACTGTGTGGAAAAAAATGTTTTCTTTCTTGTTTAAATAATTTGTGCGTTTTAAATTATTCGTATAACAATTTTTTCTCAGATGTGCATTTATATAGTAAGGTATTAATTGAAGTGAGGGAATAATTGTTTCCTCAGATTCTTATTAAGCTATTGGTTCACCTAAAGAAATAAGCAATTTTTTCCTCAGATACTTACAGCTGTTCTAGTACAAGTAGAAAAACGCTGTTGTATAGTGAGATCAGGAGTGCTGTTCTGTTATTGGTTAATGCTCACGGTGTGTGACGTCATCCCTATCTATACTTACGTTATACTAAAGGTAAATAAAACACCTTTTTTCAATTATTTCTGAAACGGCTACCATTTCCATTTTTCATATTAGCTTATAATATTTTATATTTTCTTTTTATAATATTTTCCAAACTTCGGGCTTTGGTGATTATATATATTTTAGCTGCATACCCGTTCTTCGCCACGGTGAATTTTTTTAAACGTACCAACAGAAAAAAATCAAACACAAATACAAAGGAAAACAAACGCAAACAAAAACACAAACTCAAACCCAACGCAAACGCAATACGCAATCACAAACGCAAAGACAAATACAAACAAAAAAGAAAGCTCAAACTCAACACAAACGCAAACTCAAAATCGCAAACACAACTTAAACACAAAAGAAAACGTAAACACAAATGCAACACGTAAACGTAAATACAGATCACAAACGGAAACACAAATATAAACACAAAAGAAAACAAACGCAAATAAACACAACGCAAATCACAAACACAAACAAATCACAAACACAAACAAATCAAAAGAAAACACAAACGTAATCGCTTTATCAAATGGCTTTATGAAACAAACGACCGTGTATACTTTATTACTTATAATAAGACAATGCGATGCAATGTAAAAGCACTGCTTGGTGCGATGTTTACTTTTATGGTTCCAAAATCTATAGCGATAAAGGGCTGACACACTACCAGCAACGTTATATTATACTCGCTGCATTCCCGTGCTCCTCCACGGTAAATCTTTTTTAAATGTACCAACTTGGGAATAGAACAAAACTGAACACAACACAAACACAACACAAACACAAAAGAAAACACAAACACAACACAAATATAAAAGAAAACGCAAACACAAAGCAAACAAACACAATCCAGACACAAACGAAAACAGAAAACACAAAAACACAAAAGAAAAAACAAACGAAAAGAAAAACACAAATGAAAACACAAACACAATGCAAACACAAATGCAAACGCAAAAAAACGAAAACATAAACACAACCCTCATAACATAAACACAACTTGAATGCAAAATTAAACATATAGTTCTCACTATTACCTCCCTTGGCAAAGTTACAAATAAGTTTAATTATTTAGTTTTTTCGACCTTACTGTTATTAAAATGTATCCATTTTTTATAGGAATCTAAACGAAAATGATATATGACATTGATCCATTTAATTTATTTTAGCAATTTCCGTGTATTTAATATGTTCTTCTTTACGTTATGCATATCTGTGTGTGTGTGTGTGTGTGTGTGTGTGTGTGTGTGTGTGTGTGTGTGCGTGCGAGTGTGTGTGTAATGATTTTCAGAACATGGATTTACACTTTTATTTCCGCCTTCATCCCCAACTCCGCCTAAACCCAATATTCCCGGATACACTACTGAGACCAACTATAAACTGTTCATAAATCCATCAGGTACCAATGTTCCCTTATTTTGTTTCTTTGTTCTTATTATTTTTCAGACTTATCTTAACTGGCTATAAAAAAGCTCTCACTTCTGAAGACCTTTGGAACTTGAACCCACGTGACTTGTCTGAAACTGTTGTTGGTAGATTCACTACAGCCTGGAATAGCTGCATCAGGAGAATATAGTATGAAAGATGCTAATAAAAAATAAAAAATTCGTTATCTCTGGACAAAATATCTCATTGTAAAATATTATAGTTTCTTTGATGATTTTAGTCGATTTACACATTTTTAATGGTTGTCATATTTTGTTAGCTTTTACACATAAAAATTGTGAGAAAATGTTTGTCGCATAGGTTTGTCGCGTTACATTGAACATTTTAAAATTGCGATTAGTATGAATATTATAATTGTAGGTAAACAGCGTAGGTGTGCTTGCCAATCATTAGACAATCCTATTACATTAGGCGAACGAAACTAGATTTAAGAGGATTACTCATTTATTGGTGGATGGGCTATGAATATACACCTCCTTAATAAGATGGCTTTTCGTTTGTTGGAAGATACAGGCCCTAAGGGAGAAGACATTAGCTCTCCGTGGACAATGCAGCAATTACTTAAAATCAGGTTCCTAGAAATATGCGCAACAGAAAAATGCGCAACGGAAAACTGCGCAAATGAAAATTGCGCACACAGAAAAATGTGCAACCAGAGAAAACTGTGCACAAAGGATAATTCTCACACACAAAAATGCGCACACAGAAAAATGAGCAAATAAGAAAATTACTCACACAGAAAATGATACACGGATCTATCAGCAATTATGAGTATGCCCATGTGTGTATGTGTGTGTGTTTAAACTTGCATGTTTAATTGTGTAAGTGTGTACACATATATATTTTATTCTCATTTCTGTATATATATTTTTTAAACGAACAAATGCCACCGCTTTTTCTAAACTGCATACAAATTGCTATGATTTTCTGATCATACATACATACATACATACATACATACATACATACATACATACATACATACATACATACATACATACATACATACATACATAGATGCTGTTGACCGCTGCGCATTTTTTGTGCGCAGTTTTCCTTTTTGAAAATGATTTCAGATGTTGAACATTAATTTAGTATAACTTACTTCACCTTATTTGTTTTCTACATTTTCATGACTGATAATTCATGTAAAATTAATATGTTTTTAACGTTTTCAAATCAAATGCTTTAAAAAAAAAGTTTACTACATTGTTAGATGTTTTGTTAAATTTAACTAAAAACTAATTAATTTTAGTATATCTCATAATTATTATGATTAAACAAGTAAAGACCGTATCAATAAAAAGAAATTTTCAAATAGACTAAAATTAGTGCAATCATCCTAAGGACTTTAAATATTTTTCCGTGAGATAATTTAAGATATTTGTCTGACATTATTTGTCCATGATATCATTGGTCCCGTTATCATTTGTCTAAGATCGTTGTCGTGGAACCAAATGTGTGTGTAAATGTGTATGTGAATATATATTTGGGCCTATAGATATTTGTATTTTTTTATTTAATCTATTTTTAAAGTCGTGGTGGACACAAGTGCAGGCAGCAGGAATATAGTACCACAGGATACTCTAACAGTGATCACTCGAGCTCTGAAAATGGGAAAGGTACAAAATTGTACAAACCATATCATATTAATATACAAAACATAAAAGACACGCTACTTTATTTACATAATAAAACATTTATTGCAGAATATATTACTTTCGACTTTTTGAATGTCAAGTCACATTATTGCAAACTATGCTATTTATAGAGATGTTTGCTATATGGACAACACTTATATCTGCTCTCTTACCCTGAAAAAACAATGTCAACAATAGCCTAAGGAAGGAGCAATGCATTTTCAGCAGCATAGAAACTAGCTTTAGATGAACTCGGAACACAAGTATTTGGAAACCTCTCCCTCCCCCAACATTTACATTAAACAATTTCAGGTGATGTTGAAAGATATTCTTCAAGAGAAAGTTTGTTTAAAAAGTGCAGAACAAGAAAAGAAGAGGCAGAAAGCAGTCAGTTGCCATTAAACAGAAAAACTAAATGCTCACTTTTTAAAGTGCTGGTCAAAGCTTTTGGCTGGGAAGTTTTCTTGTCTTACATTTGTAAGGCAGTCTCAGACGTCTTACAGTTTGTTGGGCCATTTCTTCTCAAGTAAGTTAAGACAGTTTGTTGGGCCATTTCTTCTAAAGTAAGTTAAGACAGTTTGTTGGGCCCTTTCTTCTCAAGTAAGTTAAGACAGTTCAGTTTGTTGGGCCCTTTCTTCTCAAGTAAGTTAAGACAGTTTGTTAGACCCTTTCTTCTCAAGTAAGTTAAGACAGTTTGTTGGGCCCTTTCTTCTCAAGTAAGTTAAGACAGTTTGTTGGGCCATTTCTTCTCAAATAAGTTAAGACAGTTTGTTAGGCCATTTCTTCTCAAGTAAGTTAAGACAGTTTGTTGGGTCATTTCTTCTCAAGTAAGTTAAGACAGTTTGTTTGGCCATTTCTTCTCAAGTAAGTTAAGATTTTGTTTGGCCATTTCTTCTAAGTAAGGGGTTATCCATAAATGACGTCACGCTTTTTTGACGATTTTTACCTCCCCCCCCCCCCTCCCCTCCGTCACACGTCCTCACAAAAAGCCAGACCCCCCCCCCTAAAATGACGTCACACCTCAGCCTACAACCCCCCTCAAAATTGCAGTTGAATTTTTTTAAACATCGATATTTTTCCAACATCTTGTCTGAAATATGTCAAAGTAAAGTATTTTAATCAATTTCTATTATAATTTATTAAAAATGTTTTCTAAAACGCTAAATAACGTCTAAAATTCGTTTCCTAACATTTATTATCTATAAAGCAAGTGTGACGTCGCACCATCTAAACCCCCCCTCCTCCTCATCACATATCGTCACAATATTACCGACCCCCCCCCCCTCCCCCCTCATTTATGGACGACCCCTAAGTTAAAACAGTTTGTTGGGCCCTTTTGTCTCAAGTAAGTTAACACGTTTTTTCAAGTAGAATAGCCACCAATGGGTTTTTTAAATGTAAATTAATATGCATTTTAAAAACCTATTCATGTTTATGCACAAAGAAAATATTGTTTTACAAAAAGACAGCTTGGTGTGGACAATTTTTTTGTTTCTTTATTATGATGGTAGTTAAAGTCTTTTGACATTTTGTTTTTGCTTTAAGCTAACGTGAATTGAGAAGCAATTTGTTTAAAGAAATATTGTTATTCATTCATTCAGTTATTCATTTAATAACTTTGCTTAAGAATGCTTCACCAAAATCCACTTAAAACATATCTCTCTGTACTTAAACTTAAGAATCATTTGTTGTTTTTTTTCACTAAAGAGGTTTGATCCTCCATATTGGAGCAATCAACTTAGAACCAGCCTGGTATGGCTATGTTTTAGCTGCAGCCATGTTGGGTGCCTCTTGGTGCCAGACAATTTTTTACCATCAACATTACCATCTAGCCATGACCTCGGGAATGATGTTGAAAAGTGCTCTCATGGTTGCTATTTACAGAAAGGTTAGATGTGTTTTAATTAAAAGAAGTTTAGTATTAAACTACTCTAATGGCAACCATTATTTATAAAACAAACTTTTTATTTTTTTAATTTGCCATTTAGTGTCCAATTTATCCTAATGTGCTGTAGTAAAAGTGTTTTTAAATTTCAGTGATGAAGGCATGTTCAAAATGTACTAAAAGTCTTATGTATCTCTTGCGTTTCTGTTTATTTCCATTCAGAGCCTCCATATAGACACTAACATTGGACAACAAAGTACAGCTGGTGAGGTCGTTAACCTCATGTCTGTTGACTGTCAGAGGGTGCAAGATCTAATGAGTTACACCTGGATGGTGTGGTCAATTCCCTTACAGGTAGATAACTTGGGTGGTGTGGTCAATTCCCTTACAGGTAGATAACTTGGGTGGTGTGGTCAATTCCCTTACAGGTAGATAACTGGAAGGGTATGGTCAATTCCCTTACAGGTAGATAACTTGGGTGGTGTGGTCAATTCCCTTACAGGTAGATAACTTGGGTGGTGTGGTCGATTCCCTTACAGGTAGATAACTTGGGTGGTGTGGTCAATTCCCTTACAGGTAGATAACTTGGGTGGTGTGGTCAATTCCCTTACAGGTAGATAACTGGAAGGGTATGGTCAATTCCCTTACAGGTAGATAACTGGAAGGGTTTGGTCAATTCCCTTACAGGTAGATAACTTGGGTGGTGTGGTCGATTCCCTTACAGGTAGATAACTTGGGTGGTGTGGTCAATTTCCTTAGAGGTAGATAACTTGGGTGGTGTGGTCAATTCCCTTGCAGGTAGATAACTTGGGTGGTGTGGTCAATTCCCTTACAGGTAGATAACTTGGGTGGTGTGGTCAATTCCCTTACAGGTAGATAACTTGGGTGGTGTGGTCGATTCCCTTACAGGTAGATAACTTGGGGTGTGTGGTCAATTCCCTTACAGGCAGATAACTTGGGTGGTGTGGTCAATTCCCTTACAGGTAGATAACTGGAAGGGTATGGTCAATTCCCTTACAGGTAGATAACTTGGGTGGTGTGGTCAATTCCCTGACAGGTAGATAACTTGGGTGGTGTGGTCAATTCCCTTACAGGTAGATAACTTGGGTGGTGTGGTCAATTCCCTTACAGGTAGATAACTGGAAGGGTATGGTCAATTCCCTTACAGGTAGATAACTTGGGTGGTGTGGTCAATTTCCTTGCAGGTAGATAACTTGGGTGGTGTGGTCAATTCCCTTGCAGGTAGATAACTTGGGTGGTGTGGTCAATTCCCTTACAGGTAGATAACTTGGGTGGTGTGGTCGATTCCCTTACAGGTAGATAACTGGAAGGGTATGGTCAATTCCCTTACAGGTAGATAACTTGGGTGGTGTGGTCGATTCCCTTACAGGTAGATATCTTGGGGGGTGTGGTCAATTTCCTAAAAGGTAGATAACTTGGGTGGTGTGGTCAATTCCCTTACAGGTAGATAACTTGGGTGGTGTGGTCAATTTCCTTGCAGGTAGATAACTTGGGTGGTGTGGTCAATTCCCTTGCAGGTAGATAACTTGGGTGGTGTGGTCAATTCCCTTACAGGTAGATAACTTGGGTGGTGTGGTCAATTCCCTTACAGGTAGATAACTTGGGTGGTGTGGTCGATTCCCTTACAGGTAGATAACTTGGGTGGTGTGGTCAATTCCCTTACAGGCAGATAACTTGGGTGGTGTGGTCAATTCCCTTACAGGTAGATAACTGGAAGGGTATGGTCAATTCCCTTACAGGTAGATAACTTGGGTGGTGTGGTCAATTCCCTTTCAGGTAGATAACTTGGGTGGTGTGGTCAATTCCCTTACAGGTAGATAACTGGAAGGGTATGGTCAATTCCCTTACAGGTAGATAACTTGGGTGGTGTGGTCAACTC